AATACTTTTTATCTAAAACTATTTTTAAAAGATTCTTCAGAGAACCATCTACAACATTTTCTAAGATCCCTTTTTGGCACTTGTATTTTTAAGAGTGTAGACTTGTGAGTGTGAAGATTCTGTTTAAAGTTTCAAGAATCTCTACATAATGTAAAGGTTCTAGGAAGGCCCTCTACATTGCTATAGAACGTTTACATTATATGAAGGTTCTTTACATTGACAAATCCATTCTCTCAAAAATAAAGATGCCAAAAAAATGTTCTGTGTACTATGCTTTTTAAAGTTTCAAGAAGCCCCACATAATGGAAAGGTTCTAGAAAGAACTTGTAAATTATAATAGAACCTTTACAATACATTTGAAGGTTCTTTAAACCTCTAAAATGTTCTTTACAATCATATATCTCTTTTTCAATCATGGTTTAGGGAACCACAAGTGGTTCTTCGATGGCATCTTTTAAAGAACCCTTTTTTTAAAGAGTGTATATTAGCCGTGAGTCATTCACATTGAGTCAGCAGTTCTATTTTTTGGTTTAATTTCATGCAGTTGTGTTGATTACTTTCTTCAGAAATATACTTGAGGAAAAGTAAAAGTCAACAACTCAAAGCACAAATGTATACATTTTTTTTTTCTGAAAGGGGAGTTCCACTGATTTTTCAAAATTTCTGCTTTAAAAGATCGTTGAGATGTAAACAGTGCTGTTCAGAGTGATTTGATGTGAAATATGTATAGTATATCTCTAAACTACCCGGCAGCAAATTCATAACCATTTCATATAACAGCTTTCAGTGAGGTAGTTTTTCAAGGCATTAAACTCCTCAGACGTCTGGTTCCTATCACCACCACCCTGAACAATTCTGACTCCGTAAGTTCCTTTAGAACAGAGCATTTGACATCAAATTACTCAATGACCTTTTTACGTCGAAACACAGAATGTCATGCAGAAGGTTTGAAAAAAAATGGTGGAGTTCCCCTTTAAGTATGCACACTTGAAGAAGATGGTTCTTCAAGCGTTCTTTAGTGAAGGCTGGTTCTTTTTAGAATGATGAGCTATATAGAACCATGTCATGCTTAAATATTTCTTTGACTAGTGAAATGGTTCTTCAGATTGATGGAGACTGGCAAGCTTGTAACAACAAAAGAACCCTTTTTAGTGCTATATAGACCTATGGATCTATATAGAACCATATATGACACATTCTCCATCAATCTCCAACATTTCACCATGCAAAGAACAATTTACACATTACAGGGTTCTATATAGAACTCATTGTTATAAATAGAAACATTACCTTTATGAAAGAACCCTTGAAGAACCATCTTTTTAAGTGTGTGTATAACTGAACATGCAACTTATTACCCACCTCTTTCAATAACCAAAGCAATGTATCCAAGTACCACCTGCGCTGACTGATCTGTTAACATTTCAATATTTAGATTTGCTAATTGTGTTCATTTCTTTGAAGTATTCATGACTGAGTGACAAATTTTATAATTTATTTAATGGCCACAAATGTTTGATTTCCACGTTTTCATTCACTTTATTAGAGTCTTGCCAGCCCACACTGGACCCCGACAGTGCACAAATATGTCAGCTACTGGAAGGTCGAGCTGAAAGAATGGAATGCATAGAAGAGGAATGTATCTGGATCACAGAGCAGGAACGCTTTCTTTCTACAGTGTTTCAGGCACAGCGACCACTCTGTCCTCTCTATGCTGGGTTTGGTTTTGGTTATTATAGCTCTGCAATAATGATCTGTGATTTAGATAATAATGAAGGTTGCTGTTCTGGGGAAAGATCACCCACAGCTTATATAGTCAGACAATAGAAAGGAAAAATCTCTATGTGTGAAGAGACTGGTAATTATGTCTCCTGATACTGATGGTTACATACTAGCTAGTGATGAAGCTGCATCGTTTTTGTTCGAGAACAAAAAGATGTCAATAAGGGTTCTTTGGAGCGTTGTCAAAGAGGAACCACTTTCGGTTCCCTATAAACATTTAATTGGACGGTTCTTTAAAGAACAAATGAGATTTTGTGCAGAATTTTGCTGTTGTGTGAGTGTGAAGAACCTCTGTAAGGTTTAAAGAACTTCCACATCATGTAAGAGTTTTATACCTCTTAAAAATGATGGCTCTTCAAGGGTTCTTCAGTAAAGAAAATGGTTCTATATGGAACCATGAACACTCAAAGAATCTTTTGCATCATGAAAGCGTTGTTCAGATTGATGGAGAATGGGTTTTATATGGTTCTATATAGAACCTTTTTGAAATGGGTTCTATATAGCACCAAAAACGTTTTTCCTTTTGTTACAGGCTTGACATCGTAACAATAGAAGAACTTTTTGCTGATATATAGAGCCCTTTTCAAAAAGGTTCTATATAGAACCATCTATAGCACATTCTCCATCAATCTGAAGGACTCTTTCATGATGCAAAGAGCCCTTTAATCATGCAAAAGGTTCTTTGAGTGTTCATGGTTCTATATAGAACCATTGTCTTTACTCAAGAGCCCTTGAAGAACCAGTATTTTAAGTGTGTAGGTAAAACCTACAGGTTTAAAACTCTTACCTGATGTGAAAGTTCTTGGTTCCATATAGAACCATTTTCTTAACCCATGAAGAACCATCTTTTTTAAGTATGTACAGTGCAAAACAACAAAAGAGACCACATTTTCATTTTGTCGGTGTCAAACATGCATCTCATTTTTATTTTTCTACATCAGTTGATCATGTTGTTGTCCTTTACGTTGTATGAAAGTTTCATAATGATTGGACCAATAGAAATACTCTAAAATTGGAGCTTGGAATAAATTCTATTTACATTAACTTACATGAAAAGTTAAGAATATTTTCCCTTCTTCAGTAAAGTTACTATTTAATTTGGATCAGAAAAAAGCAGAAAACATATATTTATGTTAGTAATAATAAAAATAAATAGTATATATTTCTTTAGTATTGAGTGTGCCCACCCTTTGTCTTTATTACAGCTTCTGTTCTTTTCAGGAGACTTTCTTTTAGTTTTTCAAAGATATCTTCAGGGATATTTTTCCACATCTCTAAAGTTCAGTCTTAGAAGTTGGTTGCATTTTGTGCTTCTCACCATCCAAGAAATCCAAATCCAAATTTAGACTCATCAGTTTGTACAACCTCACTCCACATCTGAGATATCCAGTTTCAGTGTTTTAGTGCTTTCTTCTTTTTCATCTATTTCTTTTTTCTCAGTAATGGCTTCTAAACAGCTACACATCCTTTCAGACTCAGAGTGTTGAGTTGTGTTCTCTCAGTGGAAGGATGAACAGAAACACCTGTGTCAATAAAGTTTTCATAATCCATTTAGTCAAGTTTTCATAATCCATTTAATTTAGAGAGGTCGTTAAGGAGTCGTTCACTGAAAGGATCTTAAGGGAACCACAAGTGGTTCTTCAGCGGTATCGCTCAAAATAACCCCCCTGGCACCTTCATTTTAAGAGTGTAGAGGACTTGAGGAAAAGTATTAAACAGACCTACTCTTGCCGCCTACCAGTGATAATCCATGTGATAGAAAGAGAAATAGAACTTTATACAGAATTTGCTTCTGTTGCCCGAGTGGCAAGTTAACTTAAATGGCTAAACATAGCATTGTAATATCCATGAAGGAAACTGTTGCCATGTATGTGTTTAAAATTATGTGTTGCATACAAATCATTAAATAGCCTTCAGTTTTCGGTATGTGTGAGGGGGCGATGAGTTCATTCCACCTTCAAACACCTCCTGTGTTTCATGAAGTGTCAGCTTTGTGTGCATTAGAGGAGGTCTATTACACTCTTCACGCTTTCTTTATCTTCCCTTTATGTACTCTAATGCAGTACAGAAGAGCTCTATTTTGGGAACCAGGCAAATTTAGCTAACACTGCATTGAAATGAGTGAAAATGGCATGGTTGAAAAACATCATATTAGTTATCCATTTGGCATATTGTTGTACATTAAATACGTTACAATTTGTATCCTTCAGGTTACTAACGGAGATAACTTTTATCATTACTAATGGCTAAATTGTAACGTATTTAATGTACAATAATACACCAAATGAAATGGTTGAAAAACATCATATTAGTTATCCATTTGGCATATTATTGTACATTAAATATGTTACAATTTTAGCCATTACTAAGGATAAAAGTTATGTATGTTACTAACCTGAAGGATACAAATAGTTTTTTTATTGTTTTTATTCATTCATTCATTCATTTATTTATGTATTTATATAATCAGTCCTTTTTTCAAATGTAAAATTCAAATATCCAAGTTTCTCCATTTACACAGCTTACCAAGAATAAATTCAGAATATACTGCATCTGCTTTTTAAGTCGAATCATGTTTCTCTCTGTAACAGGTACAATGCACCACGTAACAACCTGAAATACAGTCAGAAGAATGAATCATTATGGAATGTGATGGTTTTCTGTTATTGCAGTGCTGAAACACTGAAGACTCCGCCTGATTAAAAAACAAACCCCCGTGGCCTTGAATGTTTTCTGAAAACAAATGAACTGAAATAGACACTAACACAAGGTGCTCTAATAGCACAGTTTTCAGGGTGAAGAACTGTGCTATTAGAGCACCTTGAATGTTTTCTGAAAACAAATGAACTGAAATAGACACTAACACACGGTGCTCTAGTAGCACAGTTCTCCACCCTGAAAAATACAGACTTATTCAATTCTCTTCATGAACATAGGGTGGCGCAGTGAGCTTGATAAAAGTGCATTATGTGTGAACTACTTCTCATTGTCTGCAACGTAGACTGAACAGTCTGTGGCCCATATGTCAAAAGCACACGGCCCGCGGATAAGATCAAGCACGGGACACAATCCTATCTGGCCCATTATTATTAGTAGTAGTAGTAATAGTAACTTGTTTTTGGCGAATATATAATTCCACTCAAGTACAGACAATTCTGTAACGGAGACGTAGGTTTACGTGATGATGCAAACGGTCTCCACCAATGAGGAGACGCGTCGGTCTAGCGGACAGAATTCAAACACAGCTGACGTTACTCCGTTTATCAGGGCTAACTTACCCCGAACTGTATTGAACTGTGTTTAGTTTTCTTATCTTTTCTTTGTGACTGAGTGACAGAAACACTTGAACAGCTTTCTTTTTTTCTTGAAAACATGGAGCTCATGAACGAAGATTATTTAAAAATGTATTTGTACAAGAACAGATTAGCCACGTATTCAGGATGGCCGTTTGATGAAGGCTGCGCCTGCACGTCTGAGAATGTGAGTAACGTTGTCTGTGCTAGCTAACTGACCTGCTAACGTTAATGTTTTTTAACGTCAAACATTTGTAAATAAACTGGCGCCGCATTGTGATGTAACACTTCTTCCTATTTAGGTCTTATTTTAGTGACTAGGTTTTATTTTAGTAGCTAGCGCACCTGACCCAGTATCTAGCTAACTAGCCAGCGTTGACGTTTGCGGTTTTTGTGTTTTGAGAGGTTTGCCCTTTGCTATAGGGTTACGTTGCTTCTAATGTCCTTTCGAGTTTTCACTGTTCACTGTGCCAAAATACGATATTTCGCTGTTGGAAACACCACACCCAGGTCTCAAAGTGCAGAGGAAACAGAGAGAGAACATTTCCAAAGTCGTGACCAGTTAGGGTCAGACAGCGATACTTTGGTGCATCATTTATTATTGTTGTTGTTGTTGTTGTTGTTTATTGTCGAGGAGTGAGAGTAGCCATCGCTAATAACATTTAGGTAGCTAAACTGATGTAACCAATGCTGCTGTCTCGAACCAAGCCTTCCAGTACAAGTTAAATTAAACGGGAGCTCCACAGATTTTTCAAAACTTCTTCATAGTTGAATAGTTGAGATGTAGACCGTCATTCAGAGTGGTTTGATGTGAAATGCTCCATTCGAGAGAAACATGTCGAGTCAGAATTGTTCATAGTGGTGGTGATAGGAACCAGACGTCTGAAGAGTTTAATGCCTCTAAAAGCTCCATCACACATTGCATTAAATCGTTGGATACGTGCTGCCTGATGCGTGAGACATTGTTTAATGATAGTTTTTGATAAGGTTTTGGTCTTAAAATCTATTTGAATCCACTTATTTTAACCCATTCATTGCAGAGGGGTACATGCAGGGCGTTGTGAGGCAAAATAGTAGGAAACTTATTATTTTCAGATGTCTTTATCATTATTACATATAGAAACTCAGATGACACATGTAGGTTCACTGGTGCTTTTGAATAGTAAATAAAATCACCAAAACTTTAAAGAAATCAGAGTCTGTAAGTTTCTCTGTAAAGAACCAGTTCATGTCAAACCACTCTAACTGGCTTTGCTTACATCTCACGGACTGAATTATTCAGATATTTTGAAAATTAGTGCTATTCCCCTTTAAAAACCTAGGGCATGTTCGGTCTCAAAATGTTGTGTGCCAGTTTGCTACAGGTTGAATTACATGTTTAGCCAAAACAGTGTGTGTTGGGCTTTGAGGTACATTTTCTCTCCTCTGATGGGTGTGTATATAAACCCCACCGTATTAAAAAGGCAGTGCACACAGTGAGTTCTAATAAAGTCCTGTACAGATATGGCCACTACAGCTTGGTGTATACAATAATAGTAGACATTAGAAGACATGTTCGTTGTAAATACCTTACTGTAAAGTTTTTTTTATAGAATGCGCTAGAAGGACACCAAGAATGACCTTCTTAGCTGTCATAGTTGCAGAGCTTGCATAACACAACAGTGCACCACTGTTTCCTTTTAAATAAATGTTTTGCTATGTTTTGTTGGGGCTGAACGCAGCCCTGATGTGATTGTACGTTACGTCTAACATACTGTATACAGATCTATCTGTGGATAGGACCGTGGCTAGAGTCGAAGTGTCTAAGTGTTATTCTAACTGTGAAGATATACATGTGTAAACATTATTTGGCTACTTTTTAAAATTGCACCTACTTTATGTCCATGCCTGTCGTCCCTTTTCAGGTCCCTTTTCTCTAGTCACAGACTGTAGTTCATCTGTTTCGTCTTTTTAAATTATTTATTAGGGTGAGTACATTGTCTTATATATGCTAAGAAGCAAGCTACCAAAATCCTAGTTTCTTTTTACAATGTGACTTGCAGATGGCCCAAGCTGGTTTTATCCACACTCCCACTGACAACAGTCCAGATGTCGTCCAGTGCTTCTTCTGCTACAAAGAGCTAGAGGGCTGGGAGCCTGAAGATGATCCTGTGTAAGTGCTCAGTTAATGCAAGTGTCAGTAACATCAAGTGGATCAAAACAAGATGAGACATGATCTTTTTTAAATTTTAACTGTTATATTCTCTTCCTTTAGGAAAGAACACAAGTCTCATTCTCCGAATTGCCATTTCATTCTGCTCAAAAAAGCTGTGGAGGAGCTCACAGTTGAGGAGTTTCTGAAACTACAGAAAGAGAGGCAGAAATTTCACATTGTGAGTAAGACATATTTGGATAGTAGCTGTTGTGCTTATCTGGCTGGACTGTGCTGTGCATATAAGCTATCCTCGCTTATACCTAGGCAAATGAATACTGTCACCATCTGTTCATGATAATTGATGTTTTTTATTTTTATCCATATGGTTGTCATTCAAAACTGGTACAAGGGGGCAGCTGTGCAGCTGTTTGTTGGCAGCATTTTTTTGCTTTTGAGGACACTCCATGTTGATGAAGTGATTGTGGATTAGTTGCTCACACAGTGGTTTAAGCTTAAGCTCAAACTGTGTGATTTATATCACTATGGACTTAAATTACTGGTTGAAATGGAGGTGTTTCATTCTATAGCCTCATATCTATAGCTTTACATACATAACTTTTAAAACATGCAGATTAAATAAAAAAAATCTATTTTGTTAGATTTTATTTACATCTGGTGAATATCTATAATTAAGATTATTTGGCTGCCAAAGCATACATATCTAGAGTGATGCAGGCAAGTTTCTCTTGGACTGTAGACATGAAAGGTGATGTATGGTAATTCAAATTCAGTTCAGACTTTTATGTCTTTCTATAATCTAAAGTCAAGACAATCTGCCAGCGGTAATGAAACTGCCTCATGCTTAAGCTCATTTTCAGTGCCTTTCTTTGTCCAGACTTCTCCATCACTTTCACACAATCTGCAACTCATCTGTCTTTTTTTCATTCATCCACAGAACTCTTTTCACTCATCCTCATACTTCTTTACTGAATTTTCTGTTAGGTATTTTACATTAATTACATAATCACCTAAATGCAGTTGAGTGGATTGCAATTGTTCTAACCATTTATTAGCTTTCACAAAATGCTTATGTCACAACAAACAGACCGTGAATTGGCATTTTCATCTGTTGAGCTGAAGCAAAATCATGCATATAAAAGAAAGCAGAAAATGCATTTATTGCGACATGGTGTGGGTCTTACATAAACAATACATGGTCTAACACCAGCAATACACTGGTGCTCTTACACTTTTAGAGGATAGTAGGGAGTAACATTAGTTTGAGTTAAGCTGTGTCTTGCTTCTGTGTATTGACTGCTATGACAGCTTCTGTGTTACGCTTCCATTTTTCTCTGAATAGTGAATGATTACTTTCACCTCTGTGCTCTGCAGATTGTGATTTCTTTTTCTGTTTTGGGGTTTTTCTTCAAAGCTTGCAATGATTTTTCTGTCATAAGTTTCTGCAGTCCTCTGAGCTACCTAGTTGGCACATATTACCCCATTAGTTTCTTTCTTTTTCATGAAATTCTACACTGTTGGCTTTGCAACATCCAGTTGCTCTAAAGTGGTTCTCAAAATGCCTTTTTTCCATCATGGTCTCATGTTTTTGGCTTAGTTTATTATTATTATTATTATTATTATTAATTGAAATAAATATCTCTTCTCCTTTTACTAATTTACTTCATCCTTACGAACCTGTACCCATTTTGCGAAGCAGGTACTGGTACAATTTATCACTCTAAACTACGCAAAAGTCGATGCCGTATGTGAGTTCAGTTATGCACGCCTTCCATAAACATTAAAGAAGAAAGAGTTTGACCAACCATGGCACTGGGTTCATTCCCAAATATCAAGCAGGGATACCAAATGCATAATGTCAGTCATTTCAAGAGCCCTCACATTGACAGCAACACAATGGTTTTATCCCTCTCGTTCCCATTCCTCACTCTGTCTGTCTGTTTCCACAAGGGAAGATGATGCTCTTGACTTATTTGCACAGGTAAATGGGCTAGGATGGATGTTGAAATTGTGAATTCAGTTAACTTAACGCACACCTGCCAACCTTGAGAAAAATATTTAACATGTATAACGTTAACTTAACATTGTTTTTTGCAAGCTAACTTGCTTGTTCACCAGACATTTAAGTTGGCAACGTAACATTTAAGTTATCGTCCGTGTGTATCAGATTGTTTAATGTGACTTTTCACAGTACTCTGTTCGTAATTATTATTGCAACCACACCTGTAACCGTAATGAGAGGAGCAGGTCATGGAAGGATGGGGAAAAAAGTGAGTTCACATACCACAGAAAGGAGGTACTGATGGGGGAAATCTTTGAATAACTAAATGTGATTATATGGCAGTGAATGGGAAATGACCATGTGCTAAAGTAGGTTTTAAGCATTATTATGCTGCACCAGTTATTCTTTAGTTATGTTGGCAGGTGTTGGCAAATTTTACAGGGTGTCCCAAAAAATTGACATCATTTGAGATGTGAATATCTGAGTAACTATATGTCCTAGGCAAGCAAAATTAAATAGGCTTCATGTTGAACAATACAAGATTTATTTCTCAAAATTCGAACAAGAAATTCAGATGTAGATTTTATAACCGATTTCACAAAGCTTCATAAATGTAATATCTTCTGATACTGGTGGTCGTCCAGATCCCTTTGCCCTGCACAGACAGCCTTCGTCTTTGAATTTTTTGTGCCATGTCCAAATCTGCTTTTCAGTTGGTGCGTTTTTATTGAATTTTCTCGAAAATGCACATACTAAATGCCTTTTCATTTCTAGTGAAGGCCATTCTTCAACCTGAAAAAAACATTAAAAATTAAACTTGGTTAGTTTTTACACATTTTGTTAAAATTTGAGATCACTTGAGGGAGAATTGGTTACATTATTAGACTACGACATGTCAATTTTTTTTGGGACACCCTGTACATTGAAAGTAAGGAGCAATTACTTAGCACGACTCGTGTAATTATGCTACGGCATTTTGATGTAGCAGCAGCATTCAAATACAGCATGAGTGCATTTTCCTAGTATATGTTATTGTAGAATTGCATCAAGCAATGCTTTTGTTATTTTTGTGGGGTTTGTTTGTCCCCTCTAACACATGTGACTTAGCTCACAAAGTACTTAACAATGCCCTCATGAGTAGAGTCAGGTGTGTTGGAACAGAAAAAAAAACAAATGTGCAATGGTCTCCCCAGGACTGGAGTTGAGCACCGCTGAGTTAATCTATAGACTGTGTGGTGATGTGAAAATGACGAGCAGTATGGTATAGCGAATGGAAACCACAGTATGTCATCTGAGTGGGAAAATCAGCACAGTGGTTAGAAGAGGACTTTGTTTTGCAGATCCCGCAGACTGCACTTTCATGAGCATTACTGCTGTTCAGAGTCTGGCTGTCTTTTTAAAACCCTGATGTTTTATGTGCATGGTACATGTTTTTTACCTGTTAATTCTGTCATAATGTCTAAAGCATTTAAATGATGGAAGTTCACATTCCTATTCAACTTTGTGTCTGATTAAATGGGTATTCTGCTGGTCCTTTTTTTTTTTTTTCAAAAGTTCGGAATAATTAAATTAGTAACATATAAATGGTCATTCAGGGTGGTTTGATGTTAAATGTGCCATAATAAATTAACTTGAAGCATCATTCAGTGGTGATGGTAGTGGTGCTGGGACCCAGACATCTGAACATGCTTAATGACTCTGAAAGCTACATGAAGGAAAGCTATCATGCAAAATGATTCCAAATACGAAGGCTGAAGCCTTGGACATTGTTTTGTGGTGGTTTTGAGAGAAGGTTTTGGCCTAAAAAGTCATTTTTAAAGTCAATTCATGATGGAAAGGTAGAAAAACACCTTACCATTTGCTTTTACCAATATTTACATATAAAAACTCAGATGTGTTTTGTTCATTCATTGTTTTGGTTTGTAAATAAAATGGCTATATATGTGTGGATTATTACCACTGCATAGAAATCCAAATCTATAAGTTTCTCTACAATGCACCATTTCACACCAAAGTACTTTGAATGGCTTGGTTTACATCTCAGTGATTAAATTATAAGGAACTTTTGTAAAATCTGTGAAAAGCACTGCCTTTAAAGCCCTGCCTACAGGTAAGGGTGGGCAAAATGAAAATGTGACATCATGATACTTGACATTTTCACGAGTTGGTATAGACAAAATGTAACATCAAAACAGTAGTGTCGCGTTTAAAAGTATTGTTTTCGTCTTCCTGATATAATAAACTATAGATCTGTCAATAATAGCAAATTTTCTGTCTCAAAAATATTGTCATACAATATAATTTTTCATAAAAATTGCCTGAATCATAGTTGTGCTGTTACATATTCCATATAAACTTAAAACCTTAGAATTTTGTTTCCAACAGAGCTATAATTTAGATCTTCTCGTGTAGTCAGTCAGAGACATGATCCAGAGAGATGATTGAATACTTCAGCTGGTCATTGGAAAGCTTTTTATTCTCATTCTGGCCTTTTCAAAATTGCTTTGAGTCAGAGAAACCTTTCCCTGAGTCACAATTCTTAACAGAGGTGGCATATTAAGGAGACAGATGTTACCAAGCGACAGAAGTCGATGGGATGTGTTTTAAAAAATGATCACCCTGAATACCTCCAATCACATTCGCTCCAGGATTTGCCAGCGAAATACGTTTGCAAATCCGTGCTCAAGCCTACTGGAATGTACTAAAACGGTGCCATGCAGGGCACAGCTTTGTAGAGAACCATAATGTTGGAAGTGATGACCACTCCATTGTCAGCGTCTAATCATCAGCCTTGAGCCTGCATTTCATTTTTACAGCAAGAACTCCTTGCTGGGTTTTTAGGGCCCCCCTTTCTGCCACTTTTATGTCTCCCTCTGTAAGTCAGCATGAAGTGAAATTAGGTTTCATGGCACGTCTTTCAGTCTTTTGACTTGTGTTATGGGGTTATGAAAAATATGCCGTGGATTGTTCTTTCCTGAGAGAGCTTCTGTTTGCTGTCAGCTGAGATTCTAATTCCTATTAATTATTATAATGTTGTTCTTGGTGTTTAATTATATTTTCTGTCTTTCTTTATTTTGTTTTGGTCTAGTTTTTTTCTCTCTGCCATCTCTACATTTTTTGTAAAGTCTGTTTCTGATCATTTTTCTTCTTTTTCAGCTGAAGACCTGCAACCAAGTTATTGAGAAATTTGAAGGGTCTGCGAAGTCAAGAAGAGGTGATATTACCAAAATGGCCATGGAAGGATAAATGGAGTCTGGTGTATTTGTTCCTTTCCCGCTTCATTATCCATATCATGGATATTACATGTTCCAGTTGTACAAGCTGAAGTTTTGTTGTCAAGGAAACTATGATCTTACATATTTGATTCATTTTCACGCCAACACAGCCTTAGTCTTCATTTATAGGTGGATATATGGCACCAAACTTGGATATTTTTTACTTAATTAAGAGTATTCTTTGAGATCTCTATTCCAGATCTTTTTATCTGGTGTTGCCAGACGTCACCTTGGAGCTTGTAAACGATTGGAATCAAAACTGACCCCTTTCTTGGATAAGTTCTAATGAGATGGCTGTTAGACGCCTAGAGCACTTTCTGCATGTACTAGTACTTTTCTCTGGCCTGCAGTGCACAGCAGTGCATGAAAGCCATTGTGACTCATCACATTGTTCATTTCTTCTAGAACGTGGTCTTTTCATTGCTCTCCTTTTCGTTTCAGGAGTCGTAACAGTAGTTACTGTTGTTTGAAATGGCCTTTTTACTGTAGTTTCTTTCAGATTTATTTTAATGCCCTCAAGCTACCCCACAAGTGGATTTGCACTTCTTATTTGTCCAACATTTCTTCCACTGTTCCTTGGAGGTTTTTTGTCATGTCTTATGTCTTAATATTTTTTGTCATTTTACCTTTAATAAATATTAAAACATAACTTGCAATTATGAGTGCAGTGTGTTTTATGGTAACGGTACCTCTTCAGTCAATGAAGCACTTAATTTCTGCAAATGGGAGTTTTGACCCTTGACATTGGAGCACATATTTTTGGCCAAATTGAACATAGTATTGGACATAATGCTTTGATTACCTCCAGGGTTTTGATAACCCTTAAATTTATGTGCATTTTGCTTGCATATAGAATGAGCACTTGCTCAGTCTAGATATGGCATGATGCCACTTTTTTTTCTGCACCGATATTAAAACCTTGAGTGTTGGCTGTTACCAATCTGACTTAAACAAAACCTACTGAAATGAGAAAGTGGTCGGCTGCTGAAACACTCAACTACCCCACAGGAAGAAATACACAGCTTAGTTAAGAATATTGGTGGGCGCATTGGCCCTGTCATCGGGAGATTGTTAGATCCCTGGTGATGCCACAGTCATCTGTAGCCAGGAATCCACCAGAGCGTAATTGGCCTTGTTCTCTTTGGGTCCTCCCACTCCTCTTTACTCAACATGAAGCTGACCAGCAAAGGTGTCTATTAGCTGAGGAAACAGAATAGGCAGTTTTCATTCTCCTCCAAGCATGATGAAACGTCCAGTGATGTTGCATTAGCAGCAGTTGGAAAAGATGCAGTGGCTGGCTTTACATGTCTTGGAGGGTGTGTGTGTGTGTGTGTGTGTGTATGTGTATATAGGCTCAGCTAATCACTCTACAGAAAGTAAATAAGTAAAAATAAAAATACAAGAAAAACCAACTGAAATATATTAAATATACACAAAAAAACACAGAATATAGAGACAATATACATTTTAAAGTGACTAAGTGACTCGGTGTTATTGTTATTTAAAGTCACTTGGTACTTTTAAAGCAAAGTATTTGTAATGATCCATAATGAATTTACTTCCAGTATCTTTTTTTTAATAAAACAAATGGAAGTGATGTGGCAAGTGAACTAGAAGGCTCTCATTCAGAGCTCTTGTTTGAAGCACGAGAAGCAGCTGCTACTCATATGCAATAAAATGCGCAGTTATGGTGAAATACGATCCAGTGGCAGTGGATGTCCACTCAGCACATGTTACAGCTATTCTACCCGTTTTCTTTAGTGATTTTATAACTTCGGTTTTGGTCCCGTTGTAGAGACGGGGGGGATCGCCGTGTCAGTAAAGTATCTTTGAGACGGGACGTGTGAAACATAGCGCGAAAGCCCTGTTTCGCAACGACTGAGAACCGGCGTGCAGACTGCAGGTCACATAGCAACGATGCGTTATTCGCATTTATAAGCAGCGCAGTTGGTTTCCTGGTACGTTAAATCTGCAACGAGAGACTGTCAAAACACTAAGAAGTGGCGAAGCTGAAGTCAGCTTCTCTTTCGAATTCTCCCGTTCCACCTTAAATGGTGCCGCATTTACATCCGGTGCCTCAGTTAGAATTTTAGGTGGAACAGGCAAATTCGAACATGAAGCTGGAGAATAAGAAGCGACTTAAGCCTCGTAAAACAGTCGAACATTTTACAAGAAACTGATCTACTTCTGAGGAAAAGTTTTCTGGCGGAGATGGGAGGAAAGCAGATAGATAGCTAAAGCTTAAAGCAGAGCGAAGTAAATCTGCGCTCTCGTTTATATTGTTTAGCCTATACTAGGACATTAACACATACTGAGACATACTGGACATTAAATGTTGTGTCTCCCAAGGTGGTTTGATTTTTGTTGAAAGGACAAAATGTTATCATTTGTGTTGTGACTCCTGATCTAACCTGGCTTGTAATGCAGAGGGAGCCGGTCGGATTTCTCACTCATCCAGTTGTGTTTTTGTTATGTGCCGCCACAGACTGTCCGGGCGCTGTGCTTACCCACTTCCAAGTTCCACCTTTTGCGTTCCGTCAACATTACGTTATAAATTAAATATTTAGAAAATCGATTTTTGACATTTGTGAGTCGATTCAGAATCGTTCACGTCCGCATCGCGATGCATCTAAGAATCTATTTTTTCCCGCACCCCTTATATATATATATATATATATATATATATATATATATATATATGTGTGTGTGTGTGTGTGTGTGTATACTGTAATAGATCGAATAAGATAATGTAATAACAGGCTGCTACTCTGATTGATTTAGGTCTTCCTTTTCATGACACATACAGATGACAGCAACATACTGCCCACCGCTACCTACACGTGTGTATCTGTATGATTTGTGTGTGACTGTAGGATCACAACACTATAGTTATATCTTGTTTCGTGCCAGTTTAATTCTAGCTTTGATTTTTTTTTTTTTGTAACATTTCTTTTATATTGATTTATTCTCTCTCCCTGCGGAAGACCACCAAGGTTCCCACATTTAACACGCACTACCGCGCCAACAAATTGGCGAACAATTTGAAACGAGTCATTAAACATCGCCAGTAAAGCGGCTTAGGGCTCTATCTGCGGAGAGTTCACGCACTGATTTCCAAATAGCCTGCATGTGTTGACCCTGGACTGCTCATTTTTTCTGCTGAGGACATAAAAACATTAAGGCTGCGTTTAGTCCAGTGGAAACATTTAGGTCGTGAGGGGGTGTTGTAATGACACAGTCAGCGTTTATTAGTTAAATATGTAGTTTAATAGGTGGGAGAACACATCTCATCCCCTCCAGCGTCTGGAGCCACGGGTGGGTGGGTGTGTGCGCGCGCCCGTGTGTGGCTTGAAACACTCCTGCTCTCGCTGTGGACTTACAACCCAGCATATCGAGGGAGCAGCGCGGTCTGCTGGATCACAGGCAAAAGCTCCTCCATCGCACAGAGCCATAAAACAGCATCTAAGCCGAGGTGGTGGACCTTCTCTCTAAAATGAACTTCGGCGCTGTGGTGGTGGCCGCTGGACTGTCCGGCTTGCTCAGCTTCGCCTTCCTCGCCGTGGCCATTGGCAGCGAGTACTGGTACATCATAGACGTGGACAAAGCGAGCAACTCAACTTGGCAATTCAAGAGTTCCCACTCAGGGCTGTGGAGGACCTACGAAGGTAACTTTTCTTTTGGGCTATTAGGCTGCGGGATATTAATGGAGCAATAGTTGTGGATGTCAGTTGCAGTTTGAATGATAGCAGAATAGGCTACCTGTAGGGAGCTTTTTGCCGTTCAGTCATTTCAATGAAATTTCTAATACTGCTGTTTGTTCCCTGAGCGCAGGTTTTTGGAAGCATTAGTACAGCCAGCCGTGCTAGACCTACTGTGGTGAATTCAGATGTTATGGCCCATGTTCACTATTTTTTTGCACATGTGGAGTTTTCCACGTGTTGTGATTTCCTCACGTCATGATTCATTGGTTTACACTTTTCACATGTATAAAGTCATAATGTGATAATGCACGTGATCACTTCAATGTCACATGTGATAACATTCACATAATGTCACATGCTCACATTATTTTTTTTGTTGTCACATGTGATCACATATATTCACATTGGCGCATGATCTCATACTGTCACACGATCACATTCATATATCACATGTGATTGATCACATTCACACAATGGCATGCCATCATATTATTCACATTGTCACACAGTCACATTTTTAACATTCACGTGATCACACATCCACACTCACACGATCATGTCAACACGCATTGTTCACACTGTTACATGTGATCATACATTATTCACATTTTGTCACATGTAATCTCATTCACATTGTCAAATGATCACACACTGTTCACATTGTCACGTGATCACATTCACATTGACACATGATCTCCCTTTGTCACATGATCACTAACATTATCATGTGAACAATCACATTCGCACAATGCCATGTGATCACATTATTTACAATGTCACGTGATCACATTTTTGACATCGTCACCTGATCACACATCCACTCACACGATCATATGTAATCACACATTGTTCATACTGTTACATGTGATCATACATTATTCACATTGTCTCTTATGATCATGCATTGTTCACATCGTCACGTGTGATCACATTCACATTTTGTCACGTGTGATCACGTTCACATTTTGTCACGTGTGATCACGTTCACATTTTGTCATGTGTGATCACGTTCACATTTTGTCACGTGTGATCACGTTCACATTTTGTCACATGATCACATTTACATTATCAAATATGATCACACATTGTTTACATTTGGCACATATGATTACATATTATTCACATTGTGACGTGTGATCACACATTCACATTATGTCATGTGTTCATGTTCAAATTATGTCTCATGGCTACTTTGTTTTTTGACACCTCACATATAATCATATCTGAAATGCATGTGACTTGTCCTGAAAAAGGAGTGAAGCATCATGTTCAGAAAGTCACTTTTATTCAATTTCCCGCTACAATTACTTTTGCACTTTAACTTACCTTGCTTATGTATTTTTTCATTCATTTGTTTATTGATCGATTGATTAGAAAGAATAGTCTAGAGAGCATCAAGCTGAAAAAGGAATAAAGAATTCTTTAAATGTCTCCTGCTCCTGGTAATGACTGAATCCTGACTATTTTCTATTTTCCTCTAGTAAAATGAACTATAAGCCTCCTAAAATATCAAGTTAGGTTCACCTGTTTAACACAGCCTAGGGTGGTTGCAATAATGTGGGCCTAAACTAAAAAAGGGAAAACAAAGTGTACATAGTGGACGAAGGTGGCTTTAGTTGTCTTTCTCCTTTCCCATGAATCTCTGATGGGTTTGAATTGTGCTGGCCTCTGGTGCATGTGCACAGGCAATGATAACTAATCACAAAGCTGAATATGGTTAGCCCACACTGCAAATGCAATTAAGCCAAATTGTTAAACAGAATGCAGCCATGGCCTATATCCACCCCCCACTCCACCCCTCATTTATAATGGTAGAACAGCCTCCATAATTGGTAGGCTATTCTGGTCACAATAAATATAATTTGCTCTCCATTTCAGTGCCTTCTTTGCATGCTTTTATCACAAACCTTCTTGACACAGTTTTTATGCTGATCATTGCACTGGTCATATTTCTAATGTGTACTACAGTTCGTTTTTGTGTCTATCATGCTGTATCAACGTGTGCCTGTGCTCTATGAAAGTAGAGTGTGTGCAGACTAATGAATTGTCTTAGCTGGTGTAATTGGTGTTTCCCTATCACATACAGAAAAGAATGGGAGCTATCATGACATCTCCATCTATATGAATATGACGGAGGCCACTGAGCAAGACAAGCACCTCTCAAGTGAGTTTCTGAAAACCCTCTCTCCATTAGCTTTAATGAGGGAAATGGAGTTTGATGAAAGCTCGTGGATGGTGAGTCTAGGCTCCATTTCTGCAAGGAGCTCTACCAGTATTGTCATGCACAAGATTTGAGTCATTATTGAGACTAAAATGGTCATGATAACTTTGACCCACATTCTCTACTGTGAGCCCATTAAAATTTGAGGCCTTGCCCTTAACATCATATTGGCTTGTAAAACAGTAGGTTCAAGATTCTTCGTTGGTGGATTTGGCATTCGGCATAGACCTGTGTCTGTATACACCGACTGAGCACTTTATTAGGTACACCTATCTTGTATCTACGCTCATTGTCCATTTTATCCGCTCCACTTGTCATATAGGAGCACTCTGTAGTTCTACAAGTACAGTCTTGTCCTATTCATCAACGGTCAGGACCACCACAGAGCAGGCATTATTTGGGTGGTGGATCATTCACAGAACTGCAATGACACTGACATGGTGTGTTAGTGTGTGTTGTGCTGGTATGTGTGGATCGGACACAGTAGTGCTGCTGCACTACTGTCCACTCTATTAGACACTCCTACCTGGCTGGTCCACCTTGTAGATGTAAAATCAGAGATAGTAGCTCATCTGCTGCTGCACAGTTTGTGTTGGTCATCCTCTAGTCTTTCATCAGTGGTTACAGGATGCTGTTGTTTGGATATTTTTGGTTGGTGGACTATTCTCATTCCAGCAGTGGCACTGAGGTACAAACTACAAAGTGCACCTATATGGTAAGTGGAGCTGATTAAATGGGCAGTAAGTTTAGATACAAGGCAGGTGTACCTAATAAACTGCTCAGTGAGTTTACATCCACAATAAATGATAAGGGGGCGGCACGGTGGCGCAGTGGCTAGCGCTGTCGCCTCACAGCAAGAAGGGCCTGGGTTCGATTCCCAGCCGGATGACCAGGGTCGTTTCTGTGTGGAGTTTGCATGTTCTCCCTGTGTCTGCATGGGTTTCCTCCGGGTACTCTGGTTTCCTCCCACGGTCCAAAAACATGCAGGCAGGCCAATTGGACATGCTAAATTGCCCCTAGGTGTGAGTGTGTGTGTGAATGTGTATGTCTGTCTGTCTGCCCTGCGATGGACTGGCGACCTGTCCAGGGTGTATCCTGCCTTCTGCCCAATGACAGCTGGGATAGGCTCCAGCACCCCACCGCGACCCAGAAGGATAAGCGGTTTAGATGATGGATGGATAAATGATAAGGTAAACAGTACATTAGAAAAGCCACAAAAGGGATACTAGGAGAACTGCTGTTGAACCAGTCTCGATAATTCAGTGTTTGTTTGTGCTTTTCAAGCTTTGTTATAAAATACTTATATAAAACGTACAGTTAGCAAGTGGGTTACCAAAGTGAAAATTTAACCTATTGCTAAATTTATTGTAAAAACATTAGGGATGTGCATTCTGACTAATTTTGATATTCTATTATCTGCGAGAGTTGATGAACTGATATCCAGTTAAACATGTGGAAGGGAAAACAATGAAAAACAGCCAAAAAAATTATTGATATGGTGCTAGAGCTGAATCTTACTCTTTTAGGTATTAGTGCTGGTGTTGACGGTAAATAAAAACAGTTGCACAAAAATGTAGCAGTTAACAATACAGCTACAAATAAATTTCAAAAGATGTCTTTATTATTTAAAAAAGCCAAGAGGAATTGGTAGTTTTCATGTTGTATGAGTAACAGCTAAAACTACAGCTAAATGTCACAACACTAATGAAAGCTCGTCATCCTACACAAAGTATTTTTTCATCAGTGGATGATGTGCCAGTATGTTAGTTTATGGAGAAACATATTTTAGTTTGTGGAGAAATGTATTTTCTCATCAGCTAGAGTAGTTAGCCTGGTTAGAAATAAAGCTGTCCTACACTGATCTTCTCAATCACATCCTTAATGGCATCCTTGGCAACGTGCTCATGACTGCATAGCTGGCTTATGCAGATGGAAGCTAGCTAGTTAGCTAACCACATATCCATGTCACCATGTTTACCAGCCTCTACATCAGTGGCTTTGCTAGCAGTCAAGATTTTCCGATGGTTGTTTGACATGTTTACGTAATGCATGCTGGGTACTGTAGTGAGAGAACTTTGATTGAGGAAAACAAAATTGCGAATTATCAAACTGCCAAGAGTGAGGGCTGCAATGCTGCACTACAAAATATTATATAACATGAGAAATAACATAATAAATGCTAGTTTTAGGCCAGGAATGCCCCTTTAAATAGAAGTTCCCCTGTTACCACCTACCCCACTATCAGGGTTGTAACAGTACTATAAAGCATTCACACAAAGTAGTATTTCCAAAAGATTTTATTCTTGTACATTTTTAAGTTAATATTTTATATTTCCTTACCTTTGTGTCAATTTGGTCACATTTTTTAACTTAATAAGCAACCGTGTTTAGAAACAGGTAAAATAATCTCATTATATTTTTATAATCGCATGTCTATTTCTTTGTAGATCTGCACAGAGCCATCGTCATCTTGCTTCCGGTAAGCCTGGTTTTGCTGGTGTTTGGAGGCATCTTTGGGCTAGTGGCCTCCCTGGCACGGAGTTACACTCTCCTCACTGGCGAGGCTGTGTACTTCCTCGTCTGCAGTAAGTGTGCCTGCATGTAGAAATGCTTTGTATACTTTCTTTCAGCTCTCCTAGGATAAATATTCAAGGTTAGAGAGCAGGTGAAGTAGAACAATGACACGGCATGCTTTCGTATTCTACATATAAATATGAGAAATTATATGCCCACAAAGTCATATCACACAGATGTTTGTTATATAAAACACGCTGAATATCTTTTACGTTTGTTGGTTCTATAGTCCACTTGTTCAGTACTTCAAAGGTGCTAACATAATAAAGACATGATAGTGAAACAGACTTCAAGTTCAAATATGGTTTGGGATGTGTTACTACAGACAGTGGCTATTATTCAGTTGCGAATGGTCAAATCTTATTGTAAAATAAGCACATGCAAATTTCACAGACTTTTTTTTCAGCCATTTCTTTGGCGTGTCCCTGCAACCAACTCACGCCTGGTAGACTTGCATGTAAATTTGAGCGGAATATTTTAACAACCTGAAAAATACCTGATTTGCATTTAAATAATCAAAATTGTCATTAACATCAATAATATCAGCAATAACAGTAAAAATAGAAAATAACAATTATTAATAACTGTGCACACAGCAATCATTAACTAAAGTAGCTGTATTTATTTTTATAAAAAAGCTGTGACTATACGTTCCATTTAAAGACTTTTATTTATGCTACTGATGCAGTAAATAATCTCACTAAAATACAAAACAGCTCACCTAGTACATTAGAATCCAACTCATATACTGCAGTATTATTGCTCAAGCAGCCAGTAATGTAAAAATATTAACACAATCACATCACTTTACAATCTGAAAAAAAAGTCTACAACACTTTGTTCATTTCACATTTTATTGTTTGAATCATTGTAATTACAATGTTATAAAGCTATTTAAGCTCTAGCTATTAGGGGGAGCAGTGCTCTTGCTTGATCACCAAATTCTGCCTACAAGGACCATTAGCTGCTAAATACTTTTGTTTTACTGGCTCAAAATGAAAACATCTGCGTGTATTAGGCTGTGCTGCTTCTAAATTATACACATATGAGGGCAAATTATACACATATGAGGGCAAATTTTCATGCACTTGTGAAAACACTTGTCATCTGTACATTCAGAAAAATGTTCAGATTGTTATACCTCGATTTTTTTCAAGTTATATTAAAATTTTATCTCTTTTCATAAACTCCGGACTCCGGAAAGAAATCAAATTAGTAACAAAATAATTTAATCCTGGCCTCGTTCAACATGTTCTGAAGGGTGTTCTGAAGCTTAACATTGAGACACGAAAAACAGTTACAGTTTATTTTTACATGATCATTTTCTATCCTCTTGTTATCCCTTAGAATTAAACTGGCTGTTTTTGTTACTGTGCTTTTAAGACTGATATATGTAAATGACCTTTACCCTGATTGGCTGCCCTGTATTGTGCTTTGTCCGGCTGAAACACTCCTTATATCTTCAGTGTGCATAGGTGGAAAATTTTGGACACCCCTAATCAAATTACATGTTGATTTTTTTAAGTGAAAATAAGTGAACACATCCTCTACAGAGAACACACTTTACACATTTTAATGCACAATTACTGTTTATTTACTGAATCTAACATATTGGGGGGAAAAAATCAAAACTAAACGCAGCCTGTGCAAAATTTCTGGCGCATTTAATTTTATTATGCTTTATTTTTTCCAATATATTAAACTTAACAATTAGAAATTGCAGAAAAATGTTACATGTAAGTTTGTTCTCTGTAGGTAATGAGAGTAGAGTCATTTTACTCATTTTCATTTCATTCAAAACAGGCTGTCTTTGCAGACTATTTTCCATATGTGGAGTGTATGGACTGGGGAGTGAATAAGCTGCCAAATCAAATTAACATTCACTTATAAGCAGAATATTTAAATAAAGAATTAAAAGCATGAAAAGTTAGAATATTGAATCATTTCAATGTAGTATTGAAAAACACTGAACTTTCAACACATTATGCAACACTACATCTAAGAAGAGCACAAACATCTCAGCTCTTATAAGGACAGTAACAGGTTGGAAATGGCCATTTAGAAATGAGTTATAACTGTTTTTTGGTGTGTAAAACATCACAAATGAGGTGCGTGTATCTCAGGGAAAATTATAAAGGAGTATAGAGGCCTTTAAGCTTTGAATGAACAAGTGAACATGTACATTTGTCGACTTAGAGAAAAAACAAATGGCCAGGTCTGCAGTGGTAATGCCGGATAATTAATAATTTATATCAACTAATCGTTTATAATTAATAATTAATCATACAATCAAATATAAGATTTCAAAGTGGGATTTTCTTTTTAAATTAATCATTTATATTGTAGAATTTTGTAGTTTTCATTTGTATTATTCACATAATGGTGTGCACACTGGCTGCTCCCAGCCTGGTGGTGTAAACTCTTCCTGATCCTTCTTCTATTAAGAAAGGTTTAGATTTTTGTAAAATCACTGACTACTGAGCATTTTGAGTACGTGTTGGGGATGCTTTGATCCTTTGCTCGACACTTACCATAAACACAAGTGTTGAGGGCAACTTTGCCAAACAATGTCTTGTTACCAGCTTTGCATCCTTTCATTCGTTTGAGTCTTCAGTCCATTCCAGCCATAACAGTGATACTGCTTTCCCCTGCGAGTCCCCTAGCAATTCAAACCACTGAGGTTGTTTTGACCGTTTTCAGAAATTGATGAGTTGTCAGCCGAAACATGCTTTAATGCTTAGTTCTAGACCGGTGAATTTATACTGCAACTCCCCTCATGACATCCATACAAATGACTTCAGCAAGAACAGTTCGCGGAAGGATCAGGTATAGACTTCAGTCACTTTCAAAAGGGAAAAGATTGACACCAGAAACCCCTAACTGGCAAATGTGGTTGCTTTTTCCCTGGTATTTCCAATATGCTAGGTTTTCTATGTAAATATATTCATGAATCCATCACAAAGGATACATGGATGGCAGCTTCTTAGCAGATCTTCTTAGCATTTCATCTGTAGGGATGTAACTATACAACATATCGCAACGTATCGCATCGCATTGCATTGCTTTGTATTGTATCACATTGTTGTACTGTGGCTAGCATGTTAGCTTGAGGACCCCATAAAGCACAGCTTTTGCTTCAGATGTTGTCCTTAGGCCACACAGACAAAATGTACCAGTAGTGCTCCATTTAAAAACTACCATCATGACTATGAATGCAATTATTTTTATTCTGCGATTCACACACTGAACTGCACTAAATGCGATTAAAGACTACTTATGCTCTATCTGTAATGAAACATCCAAGTTGTTCAGTGTTCTTCAAGTATGGACAATATCCTCGATATGCTCAGAAAAGCAGATTATTGATCATGATAGCAAAATTTATCACTGCAGTCATGAATTTATGTAATTCAATAATGTAATTTATTTAGTTGATTCATTCATTCATTCATTCATTCATTCATTCGTCTTCTAAGCTGCTGATCCTCCTGGGTCACAGGGGGGCTAGAGCCTATCCCAGTGCTCATTGGGCAGAAGGCAGGAAACACCATGGACAGGCCTTTCAGTCCATCACAGGGCTTATTTGATTTATTTATTTTATTAATGATGTGTTACTTTATTTCTATATTTACTTATTCATACATTTCTTCATCCATTATTCTAGTAAGAACAAGAATAGAAAATTAAACTATTATGTACAGTTACTAATATGGCAATGAATCATCAGCTAATTTTTTTTTAATTGTGACTAATTGTGATGCTGTTATAAACTGAAAATATGAGAATGAACATATTATAAGGCCAATACTAATTTTTGCTGTATTGAATCAGGACACCACTATATCGTATCATTGTATAATGAATTTGGTGAATCATTACATCCCTATTCATTTACTGCTGTCGTATGTATTATATGTATTATGGCCAAGAGAAGTGCTTTCTGTATCTCCTCCCCTTTGATGTACAATTCTGTCCTTCATCTGTGGAGCAACAGTAAGGAAGAATTGTGTACAAGCATTCAACAGAAAGAAAGTTGCTCATGCTTAGGGGTATGCTGTGGCATTAGACATTATTAGTTTCAAACATTTCCTCACAAACATATGTAGTAGAGATTTATCTTTATGAAATATTTGATTACCACAAGGACCCCCAATATCTGAGGGTGGCATTTCCCTTTAAGTGATGTTGAATCAGTAATTTGACACTTTGCATGATTTGTAATATTGCTGAAGGTCTATTTTGAAAAGCCGCAGTTCCTCACTGCTGTTGGGTTTGTTTAGTTCCTGAGTGCATGGAGAATACTCTGACTATTGTGTGGAATACACAATGTGCCACTTTAGCAGATCACATAAAAGTATTAGATTGTAGTGCCACTTTAACAGAATAGATAAAAGTAATATTAAAGATATTAAATCGTGCAGACCCACAGTTCAGGAATGTAAACCTTTTGGGTATGCATATTGAGTAATTTTATTGGTATATGATATATACTGTAAAGTATGCCATTATAAATTGTGCAAAATAACTCATGAAACTATGAATTCCCTTTTTGAGTCTACAGTGTAATATTGCAATTTTAACACTGTGCAACATTAACTAAATGCTATAAGTGTAATGCTGTATAAATCTGTAGATGGCTGGACGACTTGAGACTAAATCTGTGAAACATACTTGATCACTGTTTGTTTTCTAATGACAGCACATCAGAGTCACTCCATCTCTGGTTATTATTATACCCATCATACAGCTAAATAGCCAGCTCATCATGACATCACTTCACATGGATGTCTACCAGGTGGTGTTGTATAATGTTGTTTACATTAATCTATTAATATAGGCTTTTGTTTTTTTAAAGAGTGGAATGCTGCCGTTGAGTGCAAATCGCAGAGCTTTATCAGGTTCTGAGTCAGCCTGGAACTGGTACTACTAAGCTGTTTGGCAAAACAGCAAATTGAATGTTATTGTATAAGGGAGGTGAGGGATCGTCTGATTTTGATCGTTAGAGGAGAGTCTGCACTGCATTCGGAGGCCAGAACATTGGGGTCAGTCACCCTCGGTCACCTTCGTGTTTAATTTTGAAGAATTCTAGTTCCATTCTTTGTGGAGTTTAGCTACTTGTGCACTTTGATATTTATGATTTGGTGCATAGCCTCCATTGTGGCGCACAATTGTTTGAATGCATCATTGAGGTGCTTCTGCTGCAAAGAATCCTGAAAAGTGCTCCCTCCCACTTAAGGCCAGTACACTACTTGAAAACTTTGTTAATATGAGAGTTAAGGAATATCATACCAATATACTTTGGTTACATATTTTACAGTTAAGGTTACTAATTATTTGATGAGCATTAGGGCTGTCAAAATTGACCAAAAATGATGTTCAATTATTCTACAATACATATGTTCAAACCATTCTAATATCTGTTTTTTGCACAATATGTCCATAAAAGGGGAAACCAAGGTGCTGAATACAGGAGGTGCTAGGGGGTCCAGGACCCCTTAATTAACCTCTTGGGCCCCCTAAATGTGTCAAAATCAAAATTCTGGGGGGTCCCTGAAAATAAACTTATCACTTTATGCTGTCAGTTAGGGGAAAGTAGACACTCAAATACAAATTCAGGAAGAGGTCATTAAGTGTGTTTACATGCACTTAATAATCTGAAACTGCAGACTTTCAGATTTTGTCGGTAATCCGATTAACCCGTTTCTGTGCACATGAGTAATCAATAATGGAAAACTGCAATAATGTAGAACTCGAACTTCATGCCGCTTTTCTTTTAAAAAAACATCAAGCCACATTACCTGAAAATATGAACACACATCATCTAGAAGGCGAAGAATATTTAAATTCTTCATTTAATATTTAAATTCTTCATTTCATCAAGCATGTATTTGGTTTCAGCATCGTTCCAAAAGTGTTTGCTGTCTCATGGGTGCTGTGTTAAATGTTGCTTGCTTATTTCCTTTACTGCAGTTTGTTCTCGCACATGTTCAGACTGAGAAATACGAAAGACAGGTGGCCACAGGGGCCAGCTATTGTATCAGGGTGGCTGTGGCCCCCCTCAGCATCAGCATAGCTGCACCTCACAAACGTATAGAGGCAAACATGTCTACTCTGGCCTTATAAGGGAAACTCCGACCAAATAAAATATTTAGCCATCACTACATCTATTGTTAACATGCTTACTTGCAACCTACAGCTGTGCCGCAGAGTTGACTTTAGAGTGACGTTTTCCGGTTTACAAGTTTGAAAACCCGCTTGTTGTATCTTGAATAGGGCTTCTTTTAAAATTTGTATTTATTTATTTTTTTTGGTTAGCTGGTGAATGCAGAAGGAAGGCATATATCTAATGTCGCTATTAGGAAGCCAAATGTCTTATAACTGTAATATTTGTCTTCATAATTACAATGGAGAAAATGTATCATTCAAGCAACAGAAATGACCAGTCAGATGAAGAGAACAACAAGTAAAAGCTATTAGCAAAAAAGCTACATGGCTATCTAGATACTTTACCTTGTTTATTCTTCTTTTCTCTGTTGTAAAAGGGAAAAACTTGCCTTTGCCATTTTATGTTATGAATGAAAATAGAATCACTGTTTTCTTTATGATTTTATAAAGGTAAGAATTACACTAATGCACCTAGTTTGGTTGTATTTATTAATCTGTTGATGAGTGGCTAGGCTAGCAGTCAGGATAGCTTGAGTACCACAGGGATTCTCAAAGATTTATATGTTATATTTGTGTAGTGCATGCTGAGTATTGTGGTGAAAGAGCTTTCATGAACAAGCACTCAAAAAACAAGCCAGCCATTACATGTAGAAGCTACTGTGTGTGTGAGAACTAGACTGTGTGCTTCTGTTTGGAGCTGGCTAAATAATGTATTTTCTTTCTTGAGTCATAGCTATGCTAACTGAAAATTGTCTACAAGTTAATGTGGCATAAATATCAGACCCGCTCCTTCCATTTGGGGGTGATAAAAGCTGATGTTCTGGAAAGGCTTTTTAAATATAGTCCCTTTGTTTACCTTCCAGACTTCCTCCATCAAACCGTCTCCCTTGATAACTAAAACATTCTGCTGTTAATTAGTTGTAAATTGACTGCGTACAATGAGAGGAGCGTAGCACAACTTCCCTCAACATCTGTTTTCTAATCCGTGACTGGTTTCTAATACGTGTAATGTTTCAAATGGGGCTCTTCATCATGATTCCTCTCCTTTCCACCCTCTAATTCTTGCAAGAAGAAGAAAATGATGTGTAAAAACATACTACTATGTCTTGGCTTAACAACGTTTAATGCATTTTCTTCAGGGCTTGATTTAAACACATAGCAAGCTCACTGAATGCAAATAAACCCCCCACAATAATTTTTGCTCTGTCTGAAAGTGTTGTTATGTCTGAAGGTGTTTTTTTGACCTCAGCGCTGTTCACAATGTCTCAGAATAGAACAGTTATTTATGGTTAATAGAGGAGGGCGGCGTTAAGTAGTGCTTGATGTTCTGGTCAATCCACATCTCCTTAGTGCTTTCAGGTAATCAGCAGCACATGAGGTATGTAGGGAACCAAATCAAGGTTGGAATTTCAACGTAATTAGAACATCCCTTTGTTGTGCATAGCTTTCTTTTGACTGCGTAGTTTGTATTTTTGTTCAAAGAAGGGGAGGGGAGGGGTCTTATTCTCCGGTTTGATGTATGGGTGAAAGGAGCTATGGGTGCACAAAGAAGTATTGGCAGTTTTGTTTACTACAAATTGGTGTTTTTCAGTCTGGTGTATTACTTAGATCTTCTCTTGAATGAATCACACATTTAGGCCATTTGGAAGAGTCTCTTCTTATCCCCAGCCCCCCACTTTGTTCTCACCCTCTCTTCGTGCTTGTATGTGCTGTCATTCTGGTCTGTAGGTGATTGCAGAAAGCAGCCCAATCAACCATCGACTGTTGTAATTGATGTCTGCTGTGTCGTATTTCAATGAAAAAAACAGCTGATTGTAGAATGATGAAGGTATTTAACAGAGGTGCAATGACAGGAAGCAGAGTTCAAAAACATTGGCCTTGAATTAGGCTTTTATTGCTGTGCATAATTAGGACAGACAAAGGCTCAAGCTTTTGTCGCTGTTTCTTTCAAAGGTCAGGGGTCCTTGAAGTTCATGTCAGCCGCCTAATTTTGCTAATAAGTGCAAATACAAGTTACATTCAAGCACTTCAGTCATCCTCTAGTGCGATCATGCTCTTACTGTGCTATTCTTAGCAGCATCTTTTCATCCTTCGATTGAAGTTACAAAGAACATTTTAGCTAATATTAGAATAATTATGTAGATGTGAATTTTGATCAGGTTTCATTTACTCACCAGCAACGCAATTCATTCATTTTTATGAAGGGTGAATTTGCCGGTTTAATAGCATCATATTATTAAACTAATATTATTTAAAGATAACGTCATTGCTGAATAGTCTGTTCTAATATTAATAATTAAAATTCTGATGTTTTTTTTTTCTTTCATATTCTCATTTGAAGTTTGGTTTTTATTTAAAAAAAAAAGTGCTGAAGTAGGAAAGTTGTGGTAAGGTGGGAAGTCAAGTAGCACACCTCTATGGTACTCTGTTTTGAATATTGCTCTAATACCCCATGAACTTACCCTATATACTGTTAGATACTGTGGATATGTATGTTTTGTGGTGCCCTCTGTGACTGTGTAATGTACTGTTTACATTTGTATTTGGGATGCACCAATCATGAATTTTTACAGCCGATTCCAATTTCTTTATAGACAATTTAAGACAAATTGGCTGATGGCTGTTTTTTTTTTTATTATCCTTTTCTTTAACCAGATGCTCACACTGTGTGCTAAACTAACACGTGAATCACACTAATACATTTCCAGTCCTTTCTGTCAACCAAAGTTCCAGTATAAATAACATCATTTGCTCTTTAATGGGCCAAGCTGGCACTTTTAATTTATAAATGAAAAATCAGTTGCTTACTTCAGTAACACTGAACACTGATCAAAAATAAGAGGCAACTAGCTATTTAGCACATTGAGACATTCATTTATTTAAGTGTTTACATCATAAAATTGTAACACACATCGGCCAAAATGAAAATAATAGGTTGGCTGATTGCTGCTTTTTTCAAAAAATCTGCTAATTCCAATCTTGCTCAATTCTAATCGTTCATCCCTAATTTGTCAAACCGTTAAATACATTTTATTTTTCATTTTTCAGCATCAGAGGGAAAAAAACAAATGAATGAAGGGTGGTTTCTGATTTTTGCACCATATTGTAAATCTGTTTTTCAGAATATGCATAAGCTGCACATTTAATAAGACAGTACATGCAAGTGTAATTGGCCAATTAAATGATTCTGATATGATTATGATTAACATCATTAATGTGTGAAACAGTTGTTCTGTCCAGTCACTGACCATGAGTCATTAGGGAGAAAACATTACTGAAAGTAGATGCCGTGGCAAAATTCTGAAGCCTTCTTATTCTCTCCATAGGCTTTTTCACACTCTCTGGAGTGTGCATCTACGTCAGCTACTCTGAGCAGGCTCTGGATTTGCTGCAGTGGGAGATGGGTACCGAGCTGCCGGCCCATGTGCACGTGTCCTTTGGCTGGTCCCTGGTCATGGCCTGCCTCTCCTACAGCCTGGAGTTGGCCTCCAGCTTTCTGCTCCTGCTGGCTGCTCGACTTGCCTACTGCCAGCGCCACCATGAGTCCACCGTGGCGCTCTCCATGGCCTAGAGCCACGGCTCCAAGAACACCTGACCAATGGATCGAGGACTCATGTCCATTCCAATTGAAATCATTTTCCAGGCTGACTTTTAAGATTCTTCTGAGTTGAACCTGAGAAGCTAAGACAAAGCTGCTGAATGCCTTTGCTGTGAATTCATTATTAAAGAGAAGTGCCCAGTGGAAGACTGATTAAATGTGTCTCCCATTACTCAAGCTCTAGTGAAGGATTTTCCTCAGGGCCACCACCAACAGTATTTAATGAATTAGTTGTTTTTATTTATTTATTCATTTATTTGTTCTTGTGGTCTTATCAAAGAAATTTCCATGAGGAACTGGCATTACATAACAAAATGATTCATGGACAGAGACTGTCTCATGGCTTTCAATATTGGGAGTAAATGCACATTATAAGGAGCCATGTGTGCGTTGGAGGTATGGCACATAGTTTTGTCATAACCTGTGATAGTTTGTTTATTCCTGCTTATTAGCACTCATTTTTTGGCTTGGTCTGTCAAATGTCATGTTACTGCATACTCCATTTCTTTCTTCACTATCTCAGTCTAGTCTAATCATAATTCTAAAACCTAGACTAAAACCTTTAAGAACCCAAATTATGATTAGTGAGGCTTCAGCATGAATTTTTCCCTAATGTTGTAGAAGATGATGTTACAAATTAGGGTGTAATTATGCAGATGAACAATTAACCGTGCAGCATAAAAAGAGCCGACTTAGCCGTGTTCTTTATTGGGTGGGGGGTGGGAAGTGCGGGGCTGAGTAGGGGTTGGTGCTCATTCTTCGTGACTCATGCCATGCTCCGGAAATGGAATAAATAATTACACTTTTTCTAGCTTGTTGAGAGCCGCTTGTCAAAATTGAGGACATCAGTGTACATCTGCAGCTGTTGTTTTGAATATCTTCCCCCAGGATTTCGTAGTGTCTGAAGGGTATGATCCTTTATGTGAGTAGATGCCTTCATTTGAAATCTTTTTCTCTCTGTATGACACACTGTCTCGTTTTTCCTTTTATGTGCACTTGTTTGTTAATTGAAATTCTATATTGAAGGAGGCCAACACTCCAGTGTGGGCAGCCTTTTAGCATGTATGTGTAGAATAATGTTCAATAGAAGTGAATGTTTTTTTTTTTTAATAGTTGTGTGGTATATGTTACATTTAGTCTGGCTGGTACGTTTTGTTTAAAATGCTTTCAGTCAAAGAGTTCGAAGTATTTGCAGCCATATAATCCGACAATGATCAATTCACATCATTTTCAACATGACTGAACTGTTATGAAAATGTACACGAAGAAATTTCTAATTAGTGTTTCATGCGAACTTTACCACGTAAAGTGATGTGTGGCAGTGCTATAGTATTTCCCATTCATTAGCCTTGAAAAACTATTTACACTTTCATGAAACTTCATTAAAGCAGTGACTTGTACAAAGCCTCTTGCACTGTAGCTGTAATTAAAGTGTCATCCCTGGTGTCTCGCTCAAGGCATCACGCTTAAAGGTAAATATATTGGTATTACAGAGGCGGCTCCATGAGACAGCCTGCTGTTTTCGTTCCCACAGTAACACTTTGGCGTACTTTCTGGTATAACGTTAGATAAGACAGATGGCTTGTGATGTCTGTGTGAAGATGATACAGTGTGTTAAATTAACTCTACAGCCTCACTTTTTTTTTCTAATACTGTGGAAACACTTGCTTGAAGGTCCAGTGGACAGGACTTTAAAAATTAGGGACACATGATGATATTGGAATCATATCAGTATTGGCAGATATTTACTTTAAAATACTGCCATTGGACAGATGTTTAGATTGAGTGATTGGGTTGTTGCACTGAAATGTCTGTGTTTCACCCCTTTTACTGCACTTGTAACCCTCTACGAATAAATGTTATATTTCTCTGTAATGTTAATCCAGGTGGATTTATGTATTGGCATCAGCAGATATGTACACAGAATATATTGGATATCTGCATTGGTCCACAATTCCCATACTGGTGCAGTATCAGAGATTTTCATTCACTGCAATATAAAAGGACTCAGTAATTATAGATATAGAATTCGTGGGAATTTTGCAGATACTGATAAATCCAGGGTACATATTGACCTATATTTTCAGCTACTGTATATAAGGCTGGAGATAAGATATTAGATAAGATATTAGTGTTCTCTAATATTATTTGTTGCTGTAGTGCTCCTTGAGACAGGCAAATAACTGTTCCCTGGACAGCCCTTATTAGATTTACAAAAGTGTGTTGTGGCAGTGTTTCCCACCTGTATTATTTCGGAATAGTTTTTTGGAGGTATTGTAAATGCCGTTGAAGCATCCAAGAAGGCAGCTGTATGTTTCATCGACTGTCAACTACAGAGGACCAAAATAAACAAAATATTTGTTTAAAAGTAGTTAGCTTTGTGGCTTTTTCTCTTTATTGACAACGCTGCTAGAAAAAACAGCTTAGTCGGATCATGCTGGTATGCCAGTCAACCAGCATGACCATGCTGGGTGATTAACTAGACCTGCACCAGACCAGAATAGGCCAGCTTATTCTGTGCTGGGTTTTTCGGCTGGGAATCTAAACCTAACCTTTGGATAGCTACAAATGTAGACAAGCCTTCACATCACATTGACAAAATTAGCTGCCAGGTTGAGCTGCTCACTGTGCAGGACCTTTCATTTGCCAAGGCATCTATCCCTGGATCACCTAGTTCATCAAATCATCTCTAATCAGGTTTTTTAATGAAGCACATTAGGATTATGTTTTGCATTTGTGATTGAACAATTATGCTGGGCTCCCCAAGGCCCATGTCTGATTAGCCATGAGCATGTCCTGTGCTGTTTTGCACATGAGCTCACTTGTGAATCATCAATTCATTCAATGATCAGTTGAATTCAGCTGAACTGATAAAAATAAGAAATGACAAGAGAAGGATAGATGCTAAGATGTCACCACAATAATTGATATTGTCTGGGGGAAAATGCTTGGTCTACAACCAAAAAGGTTTTTTAGATCTGTCTAGTAGCGTCAATTATCTGCAGTTTGCAGGAAGATCTGTCTGGGAAATGCTTAAATTGCTCTCTCAGTAATGACAAAAGGAAGATGGCGCCAATGACGTCATCACACTCCTGAAGACTCAAAGTGGTGCAATCACAGCTATATTAACAACGCAACTCTCTTTCACAGCTAAATCCATGTGCAAAGATGTGGAAGACAAAGCATTGATCAATGGTGAAATTACCTAATGGATAGCTGAGTATTCCCACCATATTGTAAATATCAGACCTTGACTTTTTTCTCTGAGGTTGCAGCCTAAGATTCTTTTGTCTGACTTCTTCCTGCAGCAACAAATTCAGCACTTAGTCTGCAAAATGCAGTGAATGGTGGAAATGATCAAACAATTATCAACCAATTTTCCTGGAAATCCTGTGGAAGAGAGATACGGTTATGGTTTAGCATTGAAATCTGAGGTCTTTTTGGGGTATGAGCTCCTTTTGTCTGCTCATGCTAGGATGTGGGAAGATTTGTATATAGGCTAAGTTACTTAAAAGGCCCGTATCCTACATTTTCCATGAATTTATTGTTTTTTTTCCCCTTTGGTCCACTTTTTCATGTTTGTGTGAGTGCACCAAAAAACTGTCATAATTCAATATTACTTGACAATTAATCAGTAGTGTAGGTTTCCTTTCACCCTTTTTTTGGGGAATGGGGGGACATTTTGTCACTTGGTCACATGTAAACTTCTTCTTTTACTTGAGTTTTTTATAATGTTAGAGAGTAAAAATAAACTATAAAACCAATTATAAAAAAGCCTCAATTTAAAAGACTCAGTTTTGAAAGCCTGTCAAAAAACGGAGCAACTCACAGCAGCAAAAACACTACAGAGACATCAAGAAAAAAAGAGGAGGAAAAGAAAGAGGAGAAGGTTATAGGCACACACTGGGAACGTACTTTATCCAAACTGTCTTCTTCATTCCTTTTCAAATGCTGTTTAATCTGCCTCTCGAAAACTTAAGCCTGAGCTGCCTAGCTACCTAAGTGGCAGCTATTTGTTAAACTTAAGATCTGTTGTGTATGTTTTATTATGAGTGCCTGTTTGCTAGCTATAAGCTACTAAACTAGCATGGACCAGCATGGCTGGGTGATCACCACCAAAACCAGCATGTTTTCTGTTTTGGATGCTGGTATTCTGGTCAACCAGCATGACCATGCCGGGTGATAAGCTAAACCAGTTCCAGATCAGCAAAAAACAGCATAAACCAGTGTAGACTAGCATGGACTTTTTTTACAGGGATGTCAGTCCAAGGCCTATGGTTTACCCATATAAAATACAGTTTTGTCACAGTTTTAGAGGTTAACAGCGATATAAGGCTCACTGTAATTCCATCATGCTCAGTTTTGTTTTTTTACTTTCTGCTGTTTTAGACTTAATGACCTAAACAGCTAATCTGCTCAGGCTAGTGGTGGGGAGGGCTTGACGTTCTTTTGTTGCGCATATGCTGTATAGAGATCACCTCACAGGAATAATGAGTCAGACATTAGAGCATCACTCCAATAAAAGTGTTGTGCTGTGATATTCCGATCACAGTTCACATCTGGACTGCCACCTGTTTAAAAATCCAAAAATTGCATTGGCAAAGATACATTCACTCCTCAATGTCACGCGTCAATGTCACCTTATAGATAATACTACACCATCATAGACTTGTTCTTTCTGTTTATCACAGAATGCAGACTCTCTTATTTATCTGTGAAAGAGGCTGTATAGTTGTTTAACTGTAACCCTCAAATAAAGTATAAATACATTTTTCATTCTGTTGCTGATGATTTTAATGGCAGAAATGTTCTACACAGGTATCAGTGAATATATGCAGTTTGAAGGCTGTGAATGTAATGTTTACTGTCTGTAGAGGTTCACACCTATGAGTTAAAGTAAGGTAATGTTCAGGGAGCTGGTGGGCAGTAGAGTTGTCACCTAAAATTTACATTATTAATTAATAGACTCAATC